CCATTTTTCTGTCATTTTGAACTCTCCTGGACAGAGAACCATGGCATATTCATATTCTCTCTTGTGCCATTCTATATATACTATGTTTATACACCTATTTTGTTAAAACTGCAATCGAATCGAATTCAACTAAACGAATTCACCTACAACAAATACCGTGTCGCCCGTTTCAAGCTGAACCGAATGAGTGAGCCGATCCACTTGGAGCAATCCAATTCGAATCGGATTTTCCCCATGCGTTGTGGTATCATTCTTATTTCTCTGATATGCATGCATGTATATGGACATCTTGGCATGTATATTATATACACAGTTGTGTTTGTCGTAGACGCTGATTCTGAGATGAATCCGTTGAAGGAAGAAAATAAAGAACAACAAAACGAATGAAAAAAAAAAAAAAAAAAACACACAACATAAAATCAAATTGCACTGGCCTCTCTTGATATATTGCCAAACCGTGTTTACGATATAGCTTGAATACACAGAATGTGATCTTTGATTGGAAGTTAGTTGAGCTATGGTGTGAATGGAGCGCATCATTTATTTGCTATCTTTGTGCGGCCAATAGGCTATGTGCAATAACAACAACAACGTAAGGAATGTGGCTTTGATGAAATGAAGAAATTAGAAGCGAAAAACCAACGTAAAAGTGTGAAAGTGATGCTAAAGTAGTTGAATGACGAAGAGACAGTGTCAATTGCTTGCAGAATAGTGGAAAAGCATGATGCGGGAGCAAAAGAAGAGTGTAAGTTGGCGGTCGATTCGATACAGTCCCACTGCATCGCTACAAACAATTTGGTGGCAAATAGCGAAGCACAACCCGAAACAAAAAAAAAAATGATAATAATACGATTTGGTGACACATTTTTTTTATATATATGTTTGGTGTTGCGATGCTATTGGGAAGCCCAAAGTGGAGGATGCATACATACGTATACATAAATACATGAAAAATTGCTCGAACATCAGTCGTTTTGAGTTCACATTTTTTTCTCTGTGTGTTTTTTTTTGTTGGTTTGTCGCTTAGTTGCATGTAAAGTGAGTGCGCGCTCCTTTCTTTGCCTATCTCTTTTGCGCCGATGGCATTTTGCGATGACCGACTTCATGTTCTATAGAATTTATCCATTTGAATTTATAACAAACAAATATTCCAAGTAAAAAGCGACGCGCGTTCACTCACAAATTTTTTTCAAGCAGCAGAAAAACTTTCGTGCATTTCACTCAGCAAACGAAAAGCAATGGTATTGCGCGAAATAGCTTGTGCTTGTTGTATGATACACACACAAAACATTTGGCCATGTTGCCGCTTTGTTACGATGATAACTCACGAAAAATAAAAAAAATAAAAACAAAATTCGCCTGTTTGATGATTCGATGGCGGCAATGGCGATGGCGATGAATGTGGTTGTATCTCACAGTTATTGTGCATTGCGTTTTAATGTTTGTGTTTGTGTCATGTACCGCGTGCAATATAAGTCATTGTATTATTATATTTGCAACCGTTGAGCTGAGGAAAATACGAAAGCGTCTCTCGTTTTGTATGCAAAACAAAGCTCTCTAAAATTGTCTGCCTTGTATACGTTATGTACGTTGAATGTTACAATAACGTTTTGGCTTCACACATGAATATGCGAATGTGATATTACATTCATACATATATATGCGATTTCGTGAGAGCAGATGAAGCGCGAGTGTCATTCGATTTTGTTTTATTAGTATATTATTGTTATAACTATTATTATCAGTCATATTTGGTTGGAAGTTGGGATCGCCGCAGCAGCCACCGCCGCCTCCAATGCCGCTACTGCCATTGTAGCGCTTTTTTTTGTTTCTTTCACACAATGTTTGCCTGCTCATTGATTCGATGTCGAAACGTGATTTTACCTTTTCATACACATTTCCAATAACAATATTTGTTTTTTTTTTTCAATTTTGTTTTCGATTTCATATTAAATGCACTTTATTCATTTAGGTGCCGTTCATTGCTAATTGTAACTTGGCGTTCTGTTTTCTTTACGCTTATTGTCGAGTGTTTCACATTTAAACACACGCAATTGTGCGCCGTTTATTCGCTCTAGGTCTTGTTTAGTCGTTCTATCTCTTTCTCTCTCTGTGTATGCTTTTTTTTTAAAACTTCGACTGAATTTAATTATACATCGATTATTTGATTGTTGTTGTCGTTTTTTTGCCTTTGGCTGCATTCGAATAGCATCAAAATGTATGTACCCACAGAGTTCTCATTCGAATTTCGAATTGTATCACATCATTAAAATTGAACATGTGTGCGCGTCTGAACATGAGTACGCGAATTTTTGAGCGTGCACAATAACACATTAAGTTATACATTGATAAATTGCCAATGGTTTCAATAATACTTTTTTTCTTCTTTGGTTTCCACTAACTATCTCTTTTGCTCGTCTCTATTTCTATCTCTTTCATTGCTTCGTCAATTTATCCGAATTCAGAGCACACAGCAAATCGACTTGTATAAATGACATATGTGCTCGGCGACACTAGTCCCATGTCGCTTGGCTCGACTTTTTTTTTTTTGTTTGCCTGTTCTCTCTCTCTTTCTATCTCTCTGTTTTATGCACGCACATATTATATCCATATAGTAATTGCCAGATCTGTTAATTGACAGCGGAAATTCCACCAATCTTAGTATGTGAAAAATAAAAGCATGCATTTATATTTGGATAAATGTGATCGGCTGTTTTCACTTTTGTATTATTTTAGAATCATTATTCATTCCTCGAAAAAAAAAAAAATATCGATTCGACTTTCTTTCAATTGTAGAACTTTCTAGATAAATTTCTTCCATTGAAAAATGATTCATTAAAAATAAACCTATTAATCCAAATGTTCACAAATTCAATCTGACAAACAATTAGAAGAATGTTCGTTTGGATTTGTATCGAATCGATTTTGACTTCGATGAAAAACCACTTGCCAAACATTCAGTACTGATTTTAAAACAATCTGTTTTTATTTGCATACATTGAACAACATTTTAAATGTCATGTTAAATCAAAAGCAAATAAATGAACAGAAATAAAAATGTTGTACGTACTTCAAATTATTTTGATTTTGCACATGAAAATACATTATTGAATTTTATGCCAAATCATTGCATCGATGGCAAATGTATAGAAAGCCGGGGGAAAAAATCACACCAAAATATGCAAACAACTACCGTTTTCTGCAGTCTTTTCAATTGGAGCCCGAATTCGAGATTTTTTTTCTCTTTCGCTGTTGCGTCGAATGAAAATTTGTATTGAAATTGTGTAAAACTTCGAATTTATGCAATCGTTCTAAGAATGTATAGATTTATAATATACTACAATAAACAATTATACTGGTTATTCGATGGATGGGTGCCAATCTATATAACGAATGTATTCTCATGTAAATGTTATGCACTGCGTACATCTATTGGCCAAAAGATAGATAAACTCCCCAAACAAATGATGCATCGAATTGAACGATTAAAATCTTGATGTTAGTATGATATGATGCGTAACACTATGACACCAATTAATCACGCATTTTCTTAAACAAACAGCAAATTTCGTGTACTGCTATATCAACAATCGAGCACAAAAGTGTCGAACTTAATAAATTACGATATTTACCGTTATTTGAGTTCTTTGAATTCAACCCGACTCAGATCTAGATCAACTAAAATCGAATATTTTCTTTGGCAAATGCGACATAGAATCGCTTGACGTTTCGACATTTTTTTTTTTGTTGGATTGAAATTTAATGGAAAAAAATCATTTCATTGTTTAAGTCACATAATTAGAGGAAGGGAATGGACTAATTGAAGACCAAACGTAATAGGTCTTCGATTTGGTATAGCATACATAGCTTTTGCTGACATCAAATGTCTTTTGGGTGACGTTGTAGCTGTCATTCTTAGTCTGATTCTCACTGGCTATTCGTTTCTTTGTCTTATTGTTTTATCTTTGGTTCTCTCGAAGTGTGCACACTCTTTCCTCCACTGGTTTGTTGAAGTCGTTATTTGTTTTTTTTTTTCTCTGTTTCATTTGTGAATATTCACAAAATAAATGCAGATCATGCACAACAAAAATAGATATGAATGTATGTTTTGTGTTTGGTATACACGATGGTGAAACAGAGAGGTAACCGAGACAAACCATTCAAAGTGAGGTAAGAAAAAGCATTAAATGCACACAGTAATTACAAATACATTCACATTGAAAAGCCGACAACGTCGAACCAAGAGAAGTTTATTCCGACAAATAAACAAAATAACAGCAACAACGACAACGGCAAACAACTAAATGTGTGACTCCCTTACAGCAACAACAAGTAAATGCAAACAAAAGGAGAATAACTTGAATTATATAAATTCGTTAGGTTGCTATTTCATTTTTTTTTTATTTTTCGTGTGTGCTCCGCGCGTACGTATGTTGAATTCGATCTCACAACCGATTTTATGCACAATATAAATCAATATGGCTGACTGCATATGATGCATGTACATTAAATGCATTATATAAAATATATATATATATATATATTTTATCCGTGCATCGCTACATTGAATAATTTTCTTGTCGAATTTAGATGGTGATTTGTGTCAGCCAAAGAAGCGAATTTTATCCATCAAACTCGATTAACAAAGAACAAAATATGAAATATTTGAAAGAATAATAGAAATTGCGGAAGAATGCATTATATTATTAATAATGTTTGGTAAACAAAAATTGTCGATTGCATATACATTATTATCACTCGAGATTTTGTTTGAATTCAAAAGGTGGTAACAAAGAAACATTTAAAACAAAACAAGAAGCGATTCGAATGAGACTGATTACTGTTCACAGAGAATTGTTGTTTCACAACCACACACACACATATATATATACATACATATTTTGAATAAAAAAAAAGCCGACATATCCAAGCAATTTATAATGGGCAAATTTACAATGCCACGAAATTGAATTTATTAAAATAAACATTGAGATACTTACTTTGTAAATGACAATAATCATCAGTTGAAACTGCAATACAATATTTGAAGCGCTAATGATGACGAAGACGGTGACATTTCGATGAAAAATCGTTTGATTGGAATTCGGTCGATTTGTCTCTTTAATCCCTATCCAATTCAGTGTTCATTCATTAGAAATTGAATAACAACCCAAATGAAAATCGATTTTCCGCGAAGATGACACAAACCGTTCACTCAAAGACATTCAAGATTTAATGTGATTGTATACCAGCAGCGAACAAAAAAGAAATTGAAATGGATATGATTTAATTGTTGAAGATGTGTTCTTGCTCTATTTTCATTTCATGGCATGAATGTTTAATACAAATGGGTACACAGACAAATCGATTTCAAATATCCTATTTTTATTTTCTTAATTTCGATTTTTTTTTTTAAATTCTTTTTTCATGTACACCACAATTCAATTCGTTTGTTTAACGTATGTTTTTGAATGCTACATTTCAAATGGTCCAATCATTTAAATTGTTGTTTTGGATTTTTTTTATTGAGACGTTTATTTTGAAATGCACTTTTTATTTGTTATTTCCAAAATTGAATGTTTAAAGACAACACATTGATTTAGATATTGGAACCGATTTTTAATGACAAACAACACAAAAACTTCGTCAAAGACTTTCTATTGAATGGTTATATCTTCGATGGAAAAAAAATAAATGTAGTGTCTTTTCTTTTTTTCTTTAAATTTTTCAGTCATCGGCAATAATCATTCGATTAAGCACTCTTTAATAAAACACTTTTCCAATGACACCTTTCCATCACTTAATCATTGTATGTCTCTCTTTTGTATAAACGCCAAGTCGTCCAACTTATGCAAAAAACACTAAAAAAACCACACATATTTCTGATTGTCAAAGATGAAGAGTTCGAAATGGGAAAGAGTGTGTGAGAGAGAGACAACGAGAAATACAAGGAAAAAAAAATACACAATTTTAATAATGCGCGTGCATAGAGCCAAACAAATAGATCAATTACACACGAAAACTGGACAATCGATTCAAATAAATTAACATAAACTGTTTATAATTATTCGTGTGGATAAAAATTTCGTTTGATCCATTTGACATCATTTAAAAGTTACAGCCATTTTTAATTTAAATTCGATTTTATTGTTGTTGCTGTTGTGTATTGTACCTCTCTCACTCACTGTGTAATGTTCTCTGACTCTCGGCTTGAATACTGTTTTTTTTTTTCTTTCTTCTTCTTCTTCTTCTTCTTCTTCTCTGCTGCTGTCGTTTGGTTTGTTTCACTTCTTTTCTGTTTTTGCGCTAAGACTATTGTATGCTAACATATACAGCGCGCACGGCGACGGGGCGATATGAAATGGAACGAAGTGTGCACAAATAATAATAAAATAAAAGCATAGTAAAGCAAACTAAACGTTAACAACACGGCAGTAATAAACAACGAGCGAAAAAAAAAGTTCACACTGTACACACATACTGAATATATCCATCGCTTCGCTACGAAAGGAGAAACAAAAAATCGTTAGCATCATCAAATAAGACTTGATGTTCGAATGCATACAATTTGCTACACTCGCGCGAGCGTTTCACTCTTCGCCAATATATACGATTGTCATTTCGTGTGTCTTTTCTTTTATTTTATGTTGTTTTTTTTCCTCTCTCTCTCTCTTTGATTTTGTGTATGTTGCAAATGTGTGTGCATGCGTTGCGGCTTTCAAATCCTTTTGGTAAAAATGGATAGTGGCGGCGCGCGATAGACAGAGATACAATGTGAAACGAATACGACCGTACAAAATCAACACCGAACAACAGCCGTGAGCGAGATGGAATGACCGGAGCAAACGGACGCGTTACACACATGTGGCTGTGACCATAGCATTTTGTATCATTATCCAAAAATTGTGCTCGAATGTGTGCTGGTGTGCCGATGGTTGTGTGAGTGTCGTACTCGATCGAGTGCACGCGTTATTTGCCATACCGTGTGAATGCTCTGATGTATATGGTTTATGTGTTTGTGTGAAGAGTTGCGTCGGTTGATTGATGTTTGCGTCGTTTCAATCGTGATTATTGCCAATACAATACAATTGAGGCCGTGAACATGTCACTTTTTTTGATGAATTGTCCATCGTTCTATCTCTTTCGTGACATGCAATGGTGAATTTGTTTGTACTCCGTTGGCTTTATTTTTTTAGTTTAATTTTATTATTGTCGTCGTCGTCGTCTTCGTTGTTGTTGTCTTGTTTGCATGTGTCACAATAGCGGCGTTGGAATTGTACTTCGCATTTTAATGTTTAAACTAATTCTTTTATTTCTTCGTCTTTTCTCTCTCTCCTATCTCTCGTTCGCCTTTTTTTTACTTTTCCGCATTGGCATCATTGCTTGTAATTAACTCCTCTGTACACAGCACATATAATATCAATTTGTCTGTCTTAGAAACACGGCCCTTGCTCTCCGGCAAGTTCAATGGCTACTTTTATCTCATTCGCGTACATTCTCAACTGTCGTTTACTATCTCCCATTCACATTCCAGCTTTGCGTATCCAAACTTCACAGAATGCACGGAAAAACTTTAACGCTTGACATCGGAGCATCGGCAAGGCGCAGAGAAATTCAAAAGAATTGAGAAGAAATGTTACCATCGACTTTTTATATATATTGTCCTGAATGTTCACATTAGCGAATATATAGCGTTTACTACATACATTTATCCATCATGCATATGTGTGGTGTGAACGTATGCATCGAACATAACTTTTCAAATATACTTTGGGATACTTCGCTTTCTCTCTCGCTTACACTCTTTCATATTTTGTGAGCACCTATGATAAAAATTCCATAATTCCGCCCCATTGAAGATTGCGGTGAAACACCATCGATAACTTAAGTGGCCAGACGTCCTCAATTTTTTTGGGCGCTGTCCTCTCATCCTTGAAAAATTTAACTAAAACTATACCTGCCGACAAAAACACTTTTTCTTCCCAATTGAATTATGTAATAATCAATGTAGTTTTTTTTTTCATTTTAGATCAATTCGTTAATCGTTCTTGTTTATATCTAATAATATTAATTATATAAATATACATATAGTCTAAAGGTTATCTTTTTTTCCTATATGTTCAATATAAAACTTAATAATTAATGGGTTCTCGTTTTCTCTCTAAAATGCGACCACATTAAGTAGTATGCATCTTTTCGTTTTTTGCCACCTTTTGTGAAATTACTTGAATATATCACTTTTTGATGGATTCATTGAAATTTTAGATCTTTTTTTTTCGTTTGTACAAAAAATAATATTGTGTGTGGTAGCTTCAGTAAAAATGCGAAAAAACATATAAGTCATTTGTCACACGCGATTATAATACGTTTTTTATGAAATAACGATTTGCATCTATTCACTAAATTTCTAGAATTTGGTTCGAATGATAAAATTGATATCACTTTTTTGACTACTTTTACATCTTTATTTTAATAATTGTCTATGGAGTTTTGACCCAAATTTCCTTTCCCTTTTTAAATACATAAACATGTTAAAATGCCTAATCCAGACTGGATTATCCAGTGCATTAGGTAAATCAGTTGGTTAAATGGTAATACCATGAAAAAAAAATCGAGAGGGGTAAACAAATTGTATTTAGTGAAAAGTGTACTTTTTTCGTTTTTTTGCTCTTCACTTTTCTGGCGAAAATCCCTAGCAAATCGAAAGAATCTTTCCTTCATAAAAACTTGTTGAACAAAAAAAGGTCTTCACTTTTCCAATCAAAAACCCTAGAAAATTAAAAGAATTCTTTGAAAATTTTCGAGGGGTACACTTCGTCAGGGGGTGGGGGTAATCGCAACCTTTGTGAGGACGTATGCGTCATGGTATACATAATAACCACCATAATATTTTACTATTTGATCACTTGTGTATACTAAACATGGGGCACATTTCCTTCCTGAGTTAGAAGTAATGATAATTTAATTAAGAGAAAAGACCTAAATCTTCTTGGGTTGGATTCTTTTAAGAGTTAAGTTAAAAACAACTATCTCCGAAAAAAAATGAAGTGACAAAATAAAACGACATTAAATTGATAAAAACATATTTTTTAATAAATAGCAACAAAACATTTGCAACATGATCACTTGGTAAAGAAGATTTTTTTCTTCGTTTAGTTCGGTATTCATCCCCTTTGTACGATGAACATCGAATGAAAAGTTATTGGTTCCATTTCAATATAATTAATTCTCCCTATAAATGGCATTTCATTAGATTTGATCTAATTATGATTGAGGCTGGGATTCCATTGTTGGGAAAGGTCACGATCTCTGCAGTGACAATAGTAATGGTTTTATTTTAGCCGATCCATAGCGTCGTTCAGCTTCACGAACGAAGGCCATTTCCATTTGTTGTACAATTGCATCGAAGAACAAATGTGATAGATGTGAGTGTAATGCCGATTTGAATTCGAATGTGACACGAAAATCAATGACACATGAGTCAGGTACATCTTTTAAACCAGCACTAAATCCCCAGTAATTTTGTAAATAATTAAAAAGTCGACCGTCGAAGCATTCCGATTTGATAAGATGCGGTGGTTGCAGCGTCAAATTCGATGTGTATCGTTCGTAAAGTGGTGGAAAACCAACAACCAATTGAGCTTGAGCTGAATTCTCTTTGCGATTATAGACGGTCGATTTTTTACAATACGGAACAAACAATTTATAATTATCAACATCAGCGACAACATCGTACATTTGTTGCATTGAGTACCTAAAATAGCATAGCAAAATAGAAAATAGCAAAAGCGTTAATCGTGTACGGAAGTTTTTCGACAGCAAGGACACTTTTTAAATCAGTGTAAACGCGCTCACACATACCCAACTAATTCTTTTCGCTGGTACACTTTCTTTTTGCTAACAGCCTCACCAAATCCAAATATATGCCGAGCATTATATAACTGATTTGATCTATAACAACAGAAAAATGCGAATATTATTTATTACCATCGATTACGTCCGTAAATTGAAACATGAACGAACATTTTCTGAATGAAAATTGTTCAGAAAATTTCAAGATCACTGACCTTGGACTGAATTTGCACGATGTTCACACTATCGATCAACACATAAACTTGTTGTGTCGAATATGCGAACGTTTGGCTGTACAATTCAAACATACTTTTTTAAACATCAAATCCAAATTTATAATAAACAAATTCAACTTACGTTGGCTTTGTATAAATTCCATTTTGTTGAATGGAATTGCCAATAAAGCTGCTACTTTTTCGTATAAATTTATTCATCGTTCGTCGTCGCAATATTATTTACTACTCCTAACATTATTTTTGCTTAGATTGTTTGTATTTCACAATGTGTGATTTTTAAATGACATTTTTTTGACGTGTACGATTTCAACGTGCACATGCGAAATAGATTTCGTATCGTCGCGTGACACACCTTCCGAACGTCACGAACATACACTCATACATACGTACACAGTTGTCAGTTGTTCGAACCATACAACAAAACAAAACAGTGTGTTGTTTGACATTTTAACTTGATTTTGGTTGTGATAAAGTACAGCTGAGCTCGTTGATGATCGTGAAATTGATTCGAATGATTTGATTATGTGCAATAAGATTTTTGAAAAATGGAGACGAATATGAGAGTCGTCATTGGATTTTTTATTCTTTGTATGGTGCACAATGCTCAATCATCGGCCGGTGATCGAAGCCAGTTCTTCGTGAACTGCATGAAAGGATGCTTATACAGTAACTGCACTGAACGAGGTACATTTACATTTTTTCATAAATATACACGCATATACACAAAACAAATACTGAACGCACATTTTCTACACAGATTACACGAAATTCAAGCCAAACATCAAACAAGATATATTCAACGAAGTGTTACTTTGGAGTTGTCGCGATGAATGTCAATATCATTGCATGTGGCGTACAACAAATGCATTTATCAGCCGTGAATGGAGTGTTCCACAATTCTATGGAAAATGGCCATTTAAGCGATTTTTCGGCATACAGGAACCGGCCTCGGTTTTTTTCTCATTCTTAAATTTAGTAGCTCATTGGCGTATGTTAGGCAAATTTCGCCAAGATGTGAGAAACGATAGTCCCCTGTATTACACATGGAATGTGTTCAGTGCAGTAAGTTTGCCATTGCTGGATGACATAACATTTGAATTCTTGGTATAAAACTCTTATATCCCGATCATTTTTAGATTTGCATAAATGCATGGATTTGTTCCATTATTTTTCACGCAAGAGATTTTCCTCTTACCGAACTACTCGATTATGGATTCGCATACTCGATGGTGCTAGCCAATTTTTGTTGCATGATTTTACGGTAACATTTTGTTTCTTAATGATTTTCCGCATTTTCATTTTATGTGATTTTCGAATGCTTCTTTACAGAATGGTGCATTGGTCAAAAATTTGGGTAAAAAGTCTGATTAGTTTGGGTTCAATACTTTTCTTTCTCAATCATTTTTCGTACCTTTCGGTTGGACGCTTTGATTATCAGTACAATATGAAAGCTAATATTCTAACGGGTACGATAAAAACAAACGAATTTTTCATTGTACATATATCTTTGAGAAGCAGCTCATCTATTTTTTTTCCTTCGCAGGTATATTAACCGGTATTGGTTGGGTCATTTGGTATTTATTGCAAAGAAAGAAGAGACCATATTCATGGAAAATATTATTGTTTCAATTTCTGGTGGCGATTTCCTTACTATTAGAAGTTAATGACTTTCCGCCACTGTTTTGGGTTTTCGATGCACACGCTTTGTGGCATTTATCAACTGTGCTTCCAACGATTCTTCTGTATAGGTAAGATTTAGATTATTCCATTTTTTCAAAATTATTTTATGTTGATTTCCGTTCGTTTCTGAAAAAAAAAACGTTTCAGTTTTCTAATTGATGATTCACAAACACTTCGACGGGAGCGTGAAGGCTTTAAAGCACTTTAAGCACATGTTCACGTCAATTCGAAGTTGAAAAATCTAGTCATCATTTGACGTGGCGGTATATTGATTAGCGTAAGTTTCATATCAAACTTGATATAATTCGACTGAAATGGGAACAATAATTTTAAAAGGCCATTAAAATTGTGAATAGAACAAATACATTTTTATTTTAAATCAAATCTAATGTTGTTTTTATTTTTATTTTTCAAATTAAGCATATCAGATAATGAATAAAAGAAAAGAGAACGGTGAATTGAATTTGATTCCGGCATCGATTTTTTCTATCAAATGTAAAGAGATCAACATCATTTTCAATTGAAAGTTAACATGATGGATATGGTGGAATAAAAATGTAGCGAAACACTTTGCGTTGTTTTTCTGTGCGTTTGACTTGATGATCTCTGATTTTTCGTGGTACTTTGAGCTTTGCTTCGTGGTTTGTTTTGATGTTGTGTATATTGTATGTGGAATTGAGTTTATTTTTCTTTTTTATCATTATTCAATGAGTTGTACAGCCGTGAAACTTCATTTGCGACAAGATTTTCAAACACAACACCATTCACATCGATATAATTAGCACATGATTTTGTGATTGAAGCTTCTCGAACACCTTTCGAATCTTTGACAGTCAAGTAAAGTGTGTATTTGTCGTCGAACTTTTTCATCTCGGAACTGGCTTGCCACGTTTTCGAATTTGAACCGTCTTTTTGTGACATCACAGCAAACGTGCCCTTTTCGCGGAACATTGTGTATAACGTTAAAACACCCATCAATACAAAATAAGATGCGACACATGCGATCAATACAGGCCTAAAAAGAACAAAAAAAAAACACACGCCATTCAATTAATTGTGACAACATTCCAAAGAAATCACAATGAACTTACTTTGATTGTGGGAATGGATACTGATAGTCCCATGCCAATGCTAAGGCTGCGACACCAACAGCAAGCGTACAAATAAACAGTCGACCGTCAATTAAATTAAAGTTTTCCACTGAATTTGGTTTCTCCAACAGTGCGCTTTTAACGGCATCATCAAGTGCATGCTTCACCGCCGAACCATCCCATTTATTGATCTTAAGTATCTACGGGAAGGAAAACAGAATTTTAATATCTTAATTGCCACAGAATTAAGACGTGTGCACAAAAATCGAATTCGTGACGAAAACAAAAGTTTTTTTCACTGATAATAACAGCAGTTGAGTGACGTGTCCCAACTTATTGAGGTTATTTGGTCGTGAATCTTTTTATTATTAGATTTTTTTTAAATAAAAATAAATAACCAATCGAATTACCTCAATTTCTTTCTCATTTTTATCGTCTTTCTTTGCTTTTGTTGCCATTTTTACGAAAAATTTCCCAAAAAGATCGCCGCTTTTATAAATATACTTCAATTGTGATTGGCGTTCTGAATGTTAGTTGATTGTCGTATCGACAACTTCTCTTTTACAAGCTAAACAAACGCTGGAATGTAACACGTATTATTTTTGACAGCTAAAAGATGGATACGATTCGGTAACGATAGTTCATTCGTTTGCTCTTATGCACAAGATGGCGATGTGAACTACATCGCCTTCTCTATCGCACACACGCACACACACATATACTACAAAGTCACGCGTACAGAGAATCGGTTCTTCGTATGTGGTGGCGCCAATATTTAAAATTTGTCATTTTCCATTATTCCATTATTCCATTCCGTGTTTAAACATCAATTGGTCGGTATTGCGGGAAGTGTCTACATTGAGGAGAATGAATTTATTTTATTTTTTCAACAACGAAATGTTCCAATATGGAAAAACTTACTTTTAGTAAGTACCAGACATTAGGTTTGAGCTATGGATATAGCGGCTGCTATTTCATAGCCGCTATTCATAGGCGCTATTTAATTCGTGTGCTGTTTGTAACACCGAGTAGGAATAGCCTACTATTCATAGCCTACTATTCTTTTGAACATTTGAATGTGAGTAGGAGAGAGATGTAGAAAATAACGCACAATATGCATAAATGCTTTAAAACGAGATAAATAGTGCCTATGAATAGCGCCTATGAAATAGCTGCCGCTATATCCATAGCTCAAACCTAATGTCTGGCTAAGTACATGATAAACTAAAACATACTTGTGAGTTTTCGATATTTCTATGCATATTTCAGTGTCTTTTTTTTTTCATTTTATTCTTTGAGAGTGCCGAGTTCGAATTTTATCGAAATACACAACACACATCTTTTTTGTTATTTTTTTCTTCGAGAATTGACTTTTACACTTTTCTCAAATTCAGATTGTTTAAACCCTTTATCGGATTTGAAATGACCCCTTTACAAATTGTGAAAAATTTTCGAGTGACAATTCTTCAAAATTGCTACGGTTTTTGACGAGAGCAAATTCGATTTGCAATTTAACAGAGTTTCACTCAGCGCTGCTGCCATCCATAGCATAAAAATTTATGCTTGCTGAAAATGTAACATTTCTATTGTGTGATAACAACAATTTGTATCCTCAACGTGTGACCTCAAATATAAAATTCTTGGTAGTCTACATTTGCGGGCACACTGGATGGCAGCAGCGCTGAGTGAAACTCTGATATTTAACGTCCGAGGAACATAGAAACCAGATATCAGTTTATCTTTTCATTGTGGATTAAATTTTTGGGATAAAAAAAACTTCAAAATGTAAAAATTTGAACAAAATTTATTGAATTTTCATAAAATGTAATAAAAATAAATCATTTTAATAAACAACATCGTCTCTTATTTTTTTAGCATAAGCTGCTATAGCTCTAGTGATGTGCTCAATACACCTTACAAAAATTTAAAAAAGGACAACATTTTCACATAGATACTTTTCAGTCTAAACTTAACGAAATATCACACATTTTCAGGTATTTAAATTTAAACCATTTACATAAAACCAAACAACAGCTTTACTTTTTCCAAAACTCAATCGACTAGATCATTGTATTGGTGTTTCATCGAAAAAAAAAGATTATGCTATATTCAAATAGCCGCAAATATCATGCAAAAGTTGTGTTTTTGATGGTGTTTTTATCAATGTTCAATGTTCTTTGAACAATGTTAAATTTTTTGATTGGACTAAGTGACCAAAAATGACTAGCGACATGGTTTCACGTAAAAATGTAAATCACAAGCTCCAAAGCGCTGCATTTACATTGTTTTTTTTTTTGGTATTTATTTATTAATATTTGAGAATGCATTGATCGGAACTTGTGCTTGAATCGTTTTCACTTTTTTTTTCAAACTTCCAGTTGCACAAATCACTCGAGCAAAATAGTGCAATTAATACACGAATCAAATTGTTGTCTGCTTAAAATTAAACAAATATTCTTTCCATCAACAGAAGTTAAGTTAACTCGCCGAAAAAAAAAATTGTTGTTTCATTGGAATGCAAATAATAGAATAATGGATGGCACAGATAGAACACATATCAAATAGATCGAAGTTCTTGGTTCACATTCACTGACCACAATATATTCTTCATTGTACAGTGATTCATTTGCGCTCATGGGCAATTCGAATACAACTTTTTCATTGGAAAAAAAGTTCAACGACAAACGACATTCGCTGGTCGCATTATTACATGATTGAATTGAACTTGATACATTGTAAACGGTTTTTTGTATGTCAAATTTAACGCGAATGTAATTGTCCTGCACCTCATTTTCACTATTGAATATGAAAAAGTAGTAGCCATTTACTGGAACGGTATATGTGATTTTATTGGATTGGCTCGCTTTGTCAAAATCGTTTTCGCCGGCTGCATTATGGCATTTCCCATTCGGGGTTAATGGTAAACTTAGAATGAGACCTATTTCAAGACAAAGAAAGTCAAATTTAAACAAATAAATTAGTATTGAATTATTTTCATGTTAATATACCAGCACAATTGAGTAAAGCTTCTTCACTCGACGAAAACGATGACCAAAACTCGGAATTTGATCGATCATTCAAATTGGTTTGATTTAATACATGATGATGATCAGCAATGCCATCCGGTACATAACCCTATTAATTCGATATTTATTTAATTAATTTTTTTTTTTTGAGCATTATCGACAAATGGAAATACAAAACAAAAGCTTACTTGTTCAATGCCCAAGTCCTCACCTTCGTCCGCGTCTGCAGTTAACTCATTCTCCAAATCCAGTTGTCTTTTCAATCGACGTAATTGATCTTTGGTCAATTCTTGTGGTGAAAATGTCGTCGATTCCGGCATTGGTTCACTTGATGATGACGTTATCGGTGATACTGTTGTTTTATTTTCTGAAAATAGTTTGGTTTTAATTTTTCAACATTTTAAGCGAAAAATGGTGAAAAAGAGTCTTTTCAGCTCTTCATTTGCAAAAACAATGCCCTCCTAGAATTTGAGCGGCTTACAAATGACATTGATCAACATTTAAATGTTCCTTACTTCGTTTTCTTTTGTATGTTCCTAATTTTGGTTCATGCATTTCTAAAATTTCCACTTCATCTTGAATTGGCTCGGCATCGGATGTTGGCTTGACTGTTGGCACCTTTTCCAATGTCGGCGCTGTGTTTGTTTCTTTAACATCATCATTATTCGGAACGGGACCCTTCAATCGTTGAAGAATTCGATTTCGCTTTACTTGTCCAAGTTTATCTAATTGTTTTAAAAGATCTTCGAGAATTTCGTCAGATGTTGCATTGACATTGTCCTCTTCTTTTGCGAGAATACTACATGATCACAAAATATTATTAATTATAATCTGTCTTTGTTTTCTCTCAATTGAATATTACCTTTTCTCCTTCGTCGTCGATTGGTTATCGTTTTGAATTTTTTGTGTGATTTGAACATTTTCAGTTTCATGGTTGCCAATATTTGTTTCTCTGACCTTATGAATATGATCAGCTTGATGTAGCTTGATGAATTCTTTAATATTCAATTTGGATGGCATTTGTTTGCCGGTGGCGCCGGTTTTATTTAATTTTTCTCGATTTTCAATTTCAGCTTTTAATTGATTTTTCAAACGATCGACATGATTGCCGCCGTGTGTATTATTGTAAATTATATTTGTTTTAAATTTGTTTGCTTTTCGTGGCAATAAGCCGAGTAGTTCTTTCATTCGTTTACCAGATATATTATCTTCACTGTCTTTTGCCAATTCTTGTAGCGGTGAAAATGTGAAACTTTCTTTATTTTCACGCAAACGATCGTCATGAAATTCGACGCCCGGTCGATGTTTTGTTAGGAGATCGACTCGATTGGCCGGACTTTCTGGTGACGAAAAATGTAAATCAGCAATTCCTTTTTCTTCGGCTATTTCCAGCAACTCTTCAAGCTCTTCGGATGAATCATCTCCAATGTATGCGCATTGCTGTAAATGTTTATGACCACGAATCAATATCATCGACGATCCAGGCCAACTGCGTATAAAATGCCACGAACAAAAAAAGAACGAAAAAGAAATAAAGAAATGAAGCGAAAACCCCATAATCAAAATATTATTGGTTACATCATTTTATTTTTGAACTTTGATGTTTTAATGTGATTATACGATAAGAATTATTGTAGACAAACAAACAGAAATGACGAAAAAAATTGTCTCAAATTATGAGCGGTTATTTCTCTCGTTCAATCAAATTACACATGTTTCGTGTGTTTGTGTATCGCTTTTTTTAAAAAACATTCTTATTGCAATCTTATCAATGAATGCAAATTACAAAATATTGCATCGCATTTTAGATCGCCATTCATCTTCATAATGATTTGTGTTTGATTTGTTTTTCAAATGACTTACCGTGCACACGTTGATACCGTGACAATTGACCCTTTGAGTAAATAAAAGCCCCAATATTCTTTCATGTCATCGCTGAGTTCCAAATGCCTACAAAAGATGCAATCTTTTTATTTATTTATTTCTCTCTCTCTCTCTCTATTTTAACGCCATTGGAATGAACATTCAAGTGTAATGCATAATTAATTTTATTTACCTGACCATATTTACGTGAATGCGATTGTTTGCAACATTCGGCAATTCTGGTAATAGAAATGCATTAAAGGTAGTATTGGCACGTACGATTTGACGTTGACACCATGTGGTGGACACTTTTCCATCAATAATCCGCATATCCGAAATGCCAACGGGATACATTTGATAAGCGAATACGTGGTGTCTAAATCAATGACGTATACGATTACATGATTTGTAAGAGACAATCAGAGGTCCAATTTTGATCTGAATATAAAACTACTCATACACTTACTTCAAATAAAGGGGCACACCGATTAACAGACCAGGCAAAACAATGCACAATATACATAGGCGGATCGCACGCTTAGGCCCTTGAAAGCTTTTACTTTTTTTCGATTCCGTTTTATAGTAGTATGGTCCACCACGGAGCGGCTCTTCAAACGAATCAAATTCATTCATTGCATACATTTGTATTTATTTGCAATCACGCATTCACTTTTATCATTTGTTCGTCTGATTATAGATGTGTGTTTGTGTCGAATCGTGCAACAGCAATGCCTTTCAATCCGTGTAGTTCTTCCTATTCGGTTGTTGTCGGTTGCAGGATTTAAACGGTCGCCAAGACACACAGTATCTGAAAACATCAATTAAAGTCATTTAATTTTTTTCAAAACTTTTTGCATTAATTAAGCATTCTGTTTTTTTTCTGCCATAAAACAACAAAATGATTGTATTCATTTTAAAACAATGAAGTATTTCAATTTTTTTTCTCTTCACACCTCGTAAAAAAATGAAACTCAATTGATTTATAATCGCAACAAAACAAGTGATAAGTATAAAATTCATCGTAATTTCGATAAGATCACGGTTAAATATAATTGTTTTTTTATGTCTCTCCCTCTCTCTTCAGTCATGAAGATCGCACTTGTATGTGGAAAATTTGCGACGAAAAACTCCTTATAGCATTTGTTCGAGTCGATTTTTCGCGAACTTTTGTCGCGTTACTTGCCTTTTCTCTCTTTCTTTTAATTGTTATTGAAATGATCGAGAAAATAGCACGCTCAAAATAAACGGTTTTTTAAACCACACATGCATGCATTCTATCACGCTACACTGTATCCCAAAATACGCTTTTACATGCTCAAAAATGTATTATAACCTCTTTCCGACACAATTGCGGGATGAGGTGCAAACTATATTATTTTCGCAAACAAAAAAAAATACCTTTTTTTTCTTCTTTTCGCTTATTCGATACAAACTAGCAGCCTTTTAGTGTCAAATATAAACGGTTTTTTGTGTTGAATATATAAGCGATAAGGGAAATTGTCTACAACACATTCCTTTGGGATGGTATGCAAATCCCTAAAATGATGAACAATTGCAATTCTCTATCAACTTCAGTTCTGTACTTCCTTTTCTCACAATAATTCTTTAATGAATGTCAGCAGATAGTCTGATTTTATTTCGCAAATGACACAAATTTGCTTTGGGCTGATACAGTCTTATCTGCGCTTTGATACCATCAATGCAACGTCAAAATTGGTCACAATTTGTATCGAGGGTGATGCGTCGCAATGCATCTTAATGGGCCGAATGAAATGGCGCACAATGTTTTAAAACAAATATGTACCCATTGATAGATTATTATTATTTTTGAAGTGCAATGACGACGAAATAATGCAAATAGTAAAAACAAAATTGCATTTATGGTGTGTGTGTGTGTGAACAGAATGCACACTCGTTTACACTTCAAGTTAAACACTTCAAATGATGATATTTAAAAAAAAATTACAAGCAAATTGCAACAATTAAATTGCTCGGCACGTATGATAATCATTGTGATGAATCGAAAGAGATAGAATATGACGAAATGTTGCGGTGCAAAATTGATAAATGACTTAATTAATCACCATCGTAATCACCACTCACACTTTACTATACAAAAAGGAAAACATCGTCGTTGTAATTATCGCACATGCCACCAAATACGCTATGCACACATTTGGCCACTTAAGTATATCGCAAATAAAAAAAAATATTGTTAACAAAACAAAAAAACCGAAAATTTCTCACAGTCATAGATAAATACATGATTTGCAAGTACTGATAAATCACGATAATGACTTTATTGTCTATGATTTAGATTTTGAATTTTGAGATACGTGATAAATCATATTTTACAGACACACACAAATATATACACAATTTCAAAGGAGTAAAAATACCACCTGACTAATAATGATTTCGATGTGCTGTATGAAGTTGACGAAATGAAATCGTAATTTGAGGAAGCGAGAAGAAAAGCGGAAGAAACTATATGGTAAGAAAAACGGAACTGCTACACGCGCAAAACACAGCTTAATCGCGGTCGCTCCGGTCACTGTTGATGCACATTTGATGCATCGACGTCAATATTGAACAAAGTCTGAGAGACATGCACATGTATCGTTTTCAAAAAAGCGAATCTATTGATGAATAAGAAGTACACCGTTTGGCATACAATGCGATCGATTATTTGAGAGGGGATATGGCACGAAGTTTGAACTGGCACCTTACTGTCAAAATAAAATTTGAGACGCCGGAAGGCAATTTGAAAAAAAAAAAAACATTGGACATTGGTTGTGTTTGAAATGCAATTCAGAACGGAGACAAAGTCAGAGAAGGCGAAGTTGTATTTTGAACCTTGAGTTCAAAAGGATTCGAAGAATGGTTTTGAATTTCGAGTTTCGATCCAATAATATCTTCAAAGTATATACCGAAAACATCAAAGGGTGTCATCGATTGCATATCGTATATCGGTTGAACTTGAAAATAATGCACTCGTTTTCATATCATTCTCTTTTTTTATCTTTTACTTCAACCGAACACACAAAAACAACTCATCACACACACGCACACCATTGCAATGCAATCAGATCCGTATTTCATTTACTTGAACAGAATTTCATGAACCAAAATGCCTCTCACTCTAAATACCAACTAAAACTAGATTTTATTGTTATAATTATCGTTATCGAAATCGGTTGACACATCAGCAAAAGCGATGGGCTCACTTCAAAATAGAGTGTTTGTTCACTATAAATATTATATAGATATATTCTTTGGTTGTGATTGTCCGCAAAATGGCATTTCGTTGAAAAGATTGTGGAAGAAAGAGAAGGAGATAAACTAATCATGGTTAGGCAGTTTTACATACACCTGGAAATGTATTTGAACTGAGCATAATTTTATAAAATAGATCATCATAATTAATCGCATTTGGAAAGTTTTTCAGCATCATTAATTAATTTGATGTTTTAGAATGCAACAAACTTGAAAGCAATAAAAAAAACCATAATTTGAATAAGAGAGACGCTAGTCTTTTGTGCTGCGCATTAAATGAGAAATATTTTATTTAGAATATTTTCTTTGGTTGACTGTGTAAATGATTTCATTTGCCGCAATGCACACGATTCATATGTAGGTATGTAAGTTCCAAGAGTCCCTCTATTAATACCCCCCAATGAAATTTTTTCTGATATGCTAGACGCTAGGGTTTTTTGTCGAAAAAAAAATTCTTTCGATTTACCCAAAATTCAATCCCCCACCGTAACCAAGACCATAAACTGTTCTGAGATAGAGTAAGATACTGTAATTTTACACTAGATTGAATCGACTTTTGCTGAGAAATAACCCCCTCGATTTTTACCACCTCCTCTAAGATCTTTGGCGTACTCACATATGGCTCAGAGAAAAAAAAACACTATTTTTTTTAAAGAGAATGAAAATACAAATGAATTATTAGAGTAATTAGCCGAGTTTATTTTACTAAACGAGACAAATGTAATTTGAAACGTATGTTCAGAGAATATTTCAATCGCACTACAGCGGGAATTGTTTCAATTTGAACTTATTTTAAGCGTCTCGTCCACCGAATTGTAAAACTTATATTCCTGTTTATGGTCTTGATGTTAATGCGGTTTCTTTTGTTCAAATATATTTTATCGAAATTCAAATGTTGAAGATGATATAGTGCTTTATAGTGTTTATTGAAAATAAATAAAACCAGTAGATAGTCTTTTACTCTCTCTCTCTCTCTCTCTCTCTCTCTCTCTCTCTCTCTCTCTCTCTATCTATCTATCTATCTCTTGTATGATATTTTATCAAATATTCAAATACAGACAACAAACTTATCGCTGCTACTATGTACACAATTTGTCAGCCAATTTTGCGATTGCCTTTTTTTATTGACTATATATAATATTACAAACGAATGGCTCTGCTACAATCAATTCTATGCTCAATTCTTCGGTTCATTGCGTACACACGTTCACAATGCAAAGTTCAAACTCATCATCATACATATTATCGAATATTCTTTTTTTTTTGTTCGGTTGTTGTCAAGTTGTCGTTAGAAATAACAATCGCACTCATCAAAACGTCATGGTAAAAATAAGAAACCTGAGTAAACGCAGATGGTAATACATTTAAAAATATAGATTGTTCAATTTGCTGACAAAATGAAAACTGTTGATTTTGAAATAAGACAAAAATATCTTCAGCTGTCAATACGGAAAGGCCCACAAATACCAAATAACGTTTATGATTGTGATTTAATTGAGATTTGTCAAATAAAAACAAATAAACTCGATGACAAATACTTATCAATACCAAAGAAACTATTTTTTATTTTCATCAAATAATAGATCGATTCGAATTCATTGAAAATACACACTTACCAATAAGTGATGGGTTAATATTGAGATGAAACTGTATTATTTTATTGAGTTCCCTTTGAACGGATGAACTTGGTAGTACGAGTCTTGTTCACAGATTCGCCGCAACGTTAATATATCAAAAATGTGCGAACCACTTGATTTTATGTACAGTTTGTTTGATATTGATCGCTTATTGCAAATCGTGTTTCCCCTTCGCAACTTTTTTTTTCCACATACACGTGTAACTCTTTCGATTGCTTGATGTCCTATCAGTTTCTCCGCTAACTCATACTACAGACATTTGTTTATTTTCTTTCACTTTATATTGGATTTGATGTTATTTATTTTTTTTCGCACGTAAACAATTCATGAATAATTTTAAAGGCTATTAAAATGTGTGTGCCGTTGAAATTTTTTGGGCATATGCGGCCTATAAGTTCTCACCACTAAAGTAGTTGAAACGATTTGATCTCTTACTTTATCAATATGTTGCTTAACAACAATAGCGCTGGAACAACGATGATTTAAGGCCTTATTCTAAACTTTTTAAGATATTCAAATATGTAGCTCGCGTGCGTGTGCGCTTTTATTCCGATCAATCAAGGCACACACAAATTGAGAAGCACTCTCGAGATCGAAAGATATATTTAATTCAAGAACTAGCGCAGTGATATAGTTTTTATGATGTTCCACAGCAACAATGTATCATTTCACGCACTTGAGCGTCGACTGGTTGACTGTCGGCCGAATAAACTGTGTGGCAACCAATTTGCGCCTATGTATGTGTATTTTAATACAATGAAAATGTGTGATCCAAATGTTTTTGAGTTGTGGGCTTAAGTTGTTGCTCTCTTTTTTTATATCAGCCTCTTTCTTTATCGCGCTAAAATTGTACTGATTGCAATGCGAATTTTCTGCCTTCTGTCGTTTTTTTTTTATTCTTTTGTCATACACTTAATAACTGTTTTCAATGTGGCCTTTGCCACAAAAATGCGTTATTTTTCACACAACTCCTTACCACCGATCAATCTTATTCACACTCATAGGAGAGCATGTGTGAGTGTTTTTTTTTTACTTAATTCAAATTTGGTTTTGATTTTTATGGACAACGGTATTACAGCCCGTTGGTGTAATCTGTATTATAACGCGGTAGCTTCAAAAATCTTAATGATATTTTTCTGTTTATTTATATTTTTTTCTTTCCTCATTTAACATGCAAATATTTGCTTAAGTTCATTGCCTGATTTCGTGAGTTTTGTATTCAAGATTTGAGTATCGTACGTTGATAATGATCCACTGAACCACATTCTTTTTTGTTAAACGTAATAATGTTCTTCACCTCGAGAATTAAATAACATTTAAAAAATAGAAACAGAGAAAGAGAGAGAGTGTGTCCATACAAATTAATTAGAGCATTTGATATGCGCGTGTGAATCGCTGTGCTATAAAATTGCGTAGCATTTGAAAAGTGTGTGTCAATTAAATTCCGAACTGAATTATGTGTCCAGAGTGTTCTTTGTTCCTCTTTTTTATATATTATATTTGCTCGAATAATGACACACATGTAATACCTTTTTTTCTACACGAATGGTTTGTTTTTATTTTTGGGCGCGAAAACAAATTCAATGACCGATCATTTCGGGATGCCGAGTACAAATGAACCGATCAAAACAATTGACTGCTATAAAGCCAAATGTCGTAACAAACACAAATGAAATAAATACTTCACTCAACGTAAAATAAAGTGAAATAAAAAAAATGTGTTTGAAGTGTGTATAATGTATATTTTAATACAGCACAGCAACAATGACGACGAGACGTGCGTCGAATGTGAACGCTTTTTTAACGACTGATAGACGAAACTAGTAAATATAAATGCTGTGTTCAAAGTGTGTACGATTTTTTGGTCCCTTTATACTTTCTTTTCATTTAGTTTTCACACGTTTCCATGTATGTGTTTCCTCTATTGATAAATTTCGGCTGTGTGTGCTGACGAAAATAAAAATAAATAAAATATCGTTGAAAATAGCGTTGTTGTACGTGTGTTTGTGTCATAGTGCATGTGCAATGGATTAGTGTAGTATATTCATCGTTAAATGATTGGTTGTGTGATATGTTTCCTTTGTTACACACTTCCTTCCTTACTTACATAAACATGAAGTTCACAGAAATTAAACTCAATATTTTGCTGAGACCAAGAGAGCGCCATTATCAGGAACGATAGTAATCAACAATTAGACAATATAATTGTTTTTTTTTTAGATGCCAAAGAGAGACGGAGACTCATCACCTCTAAGCACTGTCATCTATCAAAATCATAAAACGATAAAAAGAAATCATTATAGACTGAAATCAAGAAAAAAAATCGTCTACGTGAACGAACAGTGCAAAACCAAAAAGAAAAATTAACAGAATTTTTTTAATTCTCAATTCATTGACCATTTTTTCGAATAATTTTTTTATTATAATTTTTACATATTTTTGTTTGTTTTCTTCATTTTCTTTAATTCGAGAATTGACATCGTATTTGGAAAAATGATACAACTAAAATGACATCAATAGAATTAAAATATTGTACAAATCGATTGAGATTGAATGTTACTGTTTTTCATTTGTTTTTTTTTTTTTAGTTTGTTATGATTTTTAAGTCTAATTGTTTTTCCTTATTAAAATGCTTTTTTTTTGTTCAAATTACTTTATATTAATATAATGCAAATCACTAAAGGATTTTCAGTCCTGATAAATTGTTGCAAGCGGTGTGTGTAGGTATGTGTGTGTGTGTGTGTGTGTTGTGGGTTGTTTTGTGTTCTATGCGCATGTAGCGAAAAAATCTTTAAGAAGGGTTATTCGTAATTTTTCAGCAATATCCATTTGGTTTTCAAGATCGGCTCGATCGGTGGTTTCGGCACGTTCGAATTTCCATGAAAGATTTTCGATTTCACTTTCGAGACGAGCCTGTGCACAAAAATTCAAAAGTAATTTGTATTTGATATAAATCAATGGAATAAATAAATTTTGTTGTACGTACCTGTTGGTATTCAAATAGTGATTTTCTTGGTCCAGATTCCATGAAATATGCATATGGATATGTATATTGCAATGTGTATCGGCATTTAGCTAATAATGCAGCTGCGGTAAATAAATATTGCCAATCGATCCATGTGCCTAGGCCTTTCATTACTTTTTCGTTGATGCGTTGCTTTAGGCGATCGAGCGTTTGTTGCTCCAATTGAAATGATTTTGAATGATTTTCCCAGCGTTCATAATAATGTAGATATTTTTTAAGCGCTTCACGTGCTTGTGCATGCACCGATTCATGTGCAATATTTGGATTTTCTTTGTATCGCGAACACTCATAATATTCGGAACCATGTGATTTCCAATCGCCCAGGCACATCCAACAAAAATTATGTTTACAACTAAAGCATTGCATATGATTACAGCCACCATTCTTTTCGATGCATATATGACATTTTGGGCAATCTTTTGTATGTGCACTAATATAATTGGCCGTTTCACTGTCGTCCGCACATTTGGTAAGCCATTTTTTAATCACTTTACAATCGGTCGGCGCATGATAGTCCATGCCACATAGAAAACAGAAAACCGTTTTGCATGTATCACATGTTGCCTTTTTTGGACTCAACTCTTTGCTACGGATTAACACTTGACAATTTGGACCGGGACAAAATCGTAGTTCCGGATGCGATTTAACATAATCTTGAAATGCAAAATGCTGATATTTTGTTCGCATATGCGGTTTACATAATAATGTTAAAACCAAATCTTCAGGCACCAAAACATTACACTGTGTGGCCATACAATCGATACCAGTTGAAATACCCTGATTGATTTGCGTTTCGAAATGTGTTGACCAACAATCACGACAATATGAATGACCACATGGTATTGCATGGAATTTATCGAGCGTTTGATAAACAGCACACACTGAACACAACGATTGATTTGGTCGATTTTCAAGTGTTTGCACCGTTGCAACAATTGATGGTGTTGTTGGTGTTATTGTCGTCGCCGCCATTGTCGTCGTCATAGAATACCTGTTACTGTCACCGGTTTGAGATCGGTTACCTAATGACGATTTACAACTAAGTGTGCTAGAATGAACGCTACCACCGTCCGATGACATCGGTGATAATGTGGCTGACCCTGATGTAGCTGCCGTTGTTGGTGTTTCCTTTGGTTGATTTGGGCTATGACTTAGCGGTCTAATTCGAGCCGATGTCTACAATAAAAACAGATAACACCATAATCATTTTTAATTTCAATTCAAAATCACTTTCTGTACACAAAAAAAATTAGGTCTGCTTACCAGAAGCTCAGTCGGATTTTCACGATATCTTTTAACAATTTCATTAACACTCCATCGATGCTCGAGCAGTAATGTTTTGGCCAGTGATGGTGCACAATTTATTGTATTGCATAGGCATTCAATTGATTCATTCAATAATTTGTCCACATCTTCGACGGACAAACAATCATATTCAAAACTTTCTGGATCTGTTTTTAAAGCATTATGGTGTTCGATGTCTATGTCTTCAGTGCCTGGAATTTTAAAAATTACAAATTTATAAAAGTGACAAATTCAACAGAGAGACATTAGATATTGAAATTAACCTGTGTTGTAGTAATCATCGTATTCGCACTCGTTGTCCGAGGAGTATTCCATATCTGAGCAGTCTGACATCTTGGAAGATCAGATTTATTTTGTATGTGTGTGTGTGTTTATATATGCTTGGGTTTTCGATTTATTTATTTTTCTGCGAAATTTGTTGTTCGTTTGTATATGGATTGATCTAAAATCCTATCATTCGGATCAAACGATGCGTGTTTATAGGCACGCGTGAAATTAATTAGAGTTTTTTTTTACTTTAGAATTATGAGCCACTTATATTAAATTAAAAAAAAAATGCCGTTTATTAATCGACTTCTTAGAATGTAGTCACTTTATGTCACATCATCAACGCACTACATATTTAGAATGTTTTCGTTTTGCCAATTAATTTCTATACGTGCGTATGTATTTCGACGTTCTTTTTTTTTGTTTTCGTGTTGCTTCTTTTTGTCTGACTCACTTACATATAACTGTGAAATACCATCGTCAATTTCTTCGTTTCTTTTTTTCTTTTGTTTATTGTATCGGTTGATTGTTCCACTGTATGCGAATTCGCTTTTATCATAACAAAATTAAATGTATATATTTATAGTGTATGTGTGTATATTTTGGTCTATTCAACGGTGTAACACATTTGGCGAGACTATGACCGAACAGCGAAAAACATAAAAACATGAACACATAAAAATTGAAAATAAAACGAAAATAATAATGATGCAAACGAAATGTACACACAAGCAAATTGTGTCCAGTCAACAACAGTAAAACAATGCAAACAGGATTTCTAGCGATACTGGGATAAAAACTGAAAAGAGTTCATCACAATTTCCATCGCGACATAATCACACTCTATTTTTTTGTTGTATTTCGTCTTCGTCTTCGTTGTTTACAGTGGCACATGCATAATTTTTTTTTCGAAAACAACCAGCAATTATACCATTAGTGCACCCATCAAAATGACAAGAAAAAAGCAAATATTTCTCTTCTATCTTCGTTTGTGGTCGTGCATTTGATGGCCCAATATAAGCAGCTGCCAATTGACAAAAAAAACCAACTATTTTACAGTGTTTTTTCACCCATCACAGTTTACTTTTTACAAATACAATTGTTTTGATTCAGTTTATGTTTCGTGTTTTTCTTAACTTTATTTGTGTGACCATTAAAATAGAAACGTCGCCAATGAGAAATAGCTGCACAATTGGTGCACAAACGACGTACAGCTCAATTGCACAAAATTAATAAATGTCAAATTGCAGTTAAGCACTTAATCTAACACATGAAACTTTTTTTTTCAGGGTGAAATCATGAAAATCGTCACGAAAGTACCTTTAACACAAAAATCCATTTGGATTATTTATGTGTGAGAGAGAGACTGCAATAGCACGGTACAGTATGAAGTTGGTCAAACCACAAATAATTTTTTTTTAGAAATTTCAATTTTGTTACCGACGCCAATGAACGAAAACGTTTCAAAAAAAGCATTACATTTAAATTCTATGCCGATTTTATAAAACTAATCTGTTTTTTCTTCAATAAAAAAAAGAGATTAAATCACAAAAAAATGTATTCATTCACCGCTTCTTTTGAGCATTGAAGTTGGTCATGTGTTAAACGTCCAATTGCTGTTGACATTTCTCCAAACGAATTTTTGTTTACTTGTTGATATTCTTCACATGCTTTCACACTACTATACAATTTTAACCAATTTGAATAAGAAACAAAGTGTCGAATTACATTTTTTTGGTTTGTATTTTGTACATACCCACTATGTTCTCATTCTAACGAAATAGTCATTCAATTATAATTCAGTGTTGACCACAAAAGATTCGATGGAGACAATTGTATCAAAGCGAATAAAATTAGATTTGGAGCCATCCGATAATAACGATGGTGAAAATGTTCAAATTTCAAATAATTGGCGAATAAAATCCATTCTCTCTGATGAACACATTGAGCCAATAAAACGATGTTTTGTTTATGCTGGAATCGTAGACGATAAAAAATTTATTGGAAAAGCAATGAGTGAGTTATGCCAATCGATGCCGTTGCATGGATTAAACTTTCTGAAAAGAGTGCATCAATCGAAATTGCTTCTGTGTACCCTAAACCAAATGCTGGATTTTCTTCGAGAAAATCATGAAGATGAAATCGTTAAAAAGATTTTTATGACAGAAAACGACTTACGAACGGCAAGCGATCAAATGACCACATCACTATTAAAATTATACATGACAAAACGTGGCATATCTTTAACTGTGGTAAATTTTTTAATTAAAAAAATCGAAATAACGTCGGTAGCTGCACAAGCACCTTTGCTTAGTTGGCAACATTCGGATGTGAATAATGATTGGCCAACTAAGTTCCATCCAAATAAAGATTTGGAAAAATTGTACAATGGAACATGGTTTACCGAACAGGAAACGATATTTCATGTTCAAATTATGGAAATGTGTGGACTGTTGCGAACGAAATTGAAGCGAGAAGTATGTGGCATTGCGATAGATCCACGGACGAAGTCAATTGTTGCAATTGGTTTCGATGAAATCGATCGACATCCATTGATGCATTGTGCCATGGTACTGATCGATGCAGTTGCTCGAACACAAAAAGGCGGTGCCTGGAACGAATTTTTGGTTGAAAACGACGATTTGGCCATTTATACAAATTTTAATGATGAATTCGATGAATATACACAATCTGGTGTAAGCAAATTTATTCGAAAATTGATTACAACCGAAAATCCATCAATCACATTTGGCGCTGAACGTGTTAAAACGGCAGTTGAAAATCGACAAAATTATACGGACATCGATGTAAATGGCGATAATTTAAGCAAATATGGTCCGTATTTGTGTACTGGATATGATGTGTATTTGTGGCGTGAACCATGTCTTATGTGCAGCATGGCCCTGACACACAGTCGAATACGAACAATTTTCTTTCATGAAACACAGTCAACGGGTTCCTTATGCACGCTTACAAAACTTCAATCGGTCAAAGCGCTAAATCATCATTTTCAAGTATTTCGTATAGCGTGACAAACACTTGACTATTTTGATTAAAACCCAACATATTATCTGTAAATAAAACCTTTTGTTAGACGAAAATAAATTATAATTTTTTATGACAATAATTCCTTTTATTTCGATTTTGTGGAATAAATTTGAATGTTCACTTAACTACACATGAATTATTGGATGAATTCAATTTGTTTCTTATAGATAAATTCAATTAAAATTGCCCAATCCGGATAAAACGAGATTGATGGCAGCTTCAACATCTCCATTCGAAACGATCAGTGCTTGAATGTTCATCATATCTTCAAAGAGTCCCATTTCGCGCATCGTTTGCAATTCGTTGGCATATCGTTCGGCATAATTTTCATTTGAGCTCGATAAATTGGGAGCGTCCGATGGATTTGGTTGTGCAGATGTTGATTGAGTTGAAGTAACTGTATCACTGCCACCACTTTCAGCGCTGCCAGCACCACCGGCACCAGCCGCAAATAAAGCCTGTGACAATGCATTCGAGAATATCGAATTGCTAATCAATCCCGATGATTGTGACGCATTAGTGGCCGATGAGGTAGATGGTTGTGAAGATTGAGATTGAGCTTGATTGCGTTGTGCAATATTAGATAATGAATTCGACGATGATGTTCCAGCCAAAAGCAATGCTTGTGCCAATTGATCGCGGCTAATCTGCCGAATGTCTCCGGTACGTTGATTTGGTGATACAGTCGGCGAGTCACTCTCGGAACTTGATGAGTCGGACATTGAATCTTCGGTTGGTGTAATATTTGGTACCAGCGGTTTATTGGCAGCCAAGTGTTCACGTAACGTTTTTGACACAAAATCAGCCGAATGAATCAAAATCGGATATTCTTTGCCAATTTTTTTAACAGTTTTTATATCTGTCATTGATTGCAGAAGAATCGAATCCCGCAGAATGGCGTATGCGCCGAGATTTGTATGAAATTCTGGATAGGCTTCTAGAATTTGTTTCATCACTTCTGGCCGAATGGCTTTCTATGATAGCAAAAAAAAAAACACAGTTCAAATATTTGATTTGAAAAACATCGAAATGAATGGAAACTAAACGTATTTCATACCGTTGATGAGTTGGCCATCGCCTTGTAGATCGCCGTATAAGAAGCACATGCCTTATACATTTGTTCAGTGGTCGCTTGTTCGCTTTTATATTCCATGTCGTACTGTTTCTGAAACACTTGAATCATTGTACCCGACCGTACGCCATACTCTTGCAACGATTGACCATTATTTTCCAATATGGTTCCACAGTAAATTAATTCTGTAAATGACAACAAATATATTCTAAAGTTCAACCAAATATTGTTTTTGTATTTATTTTTTTCATCTTGTCAATTCAACTTACCCAGTTCGTTGTGTGGAAAATTGAGAAGTTTTTCTGTCTCAATTTTCAGGTCCCCGACATTTTTTTTTATCAAATCAATATTGGTCAACTTAAGTCGTTCGAATGGTTTTTCTGGCAAACGAACGCCCAAATACAACGATGCCATTTTCTTTAATTTTCAATCACTTTCTCGATCAATTTGTTTTCGGGTTAAAATACTTTCTGTGGCCAAGCACACGAATAATAAAATGTTGCGTACAAAGACTGTTATTATTATTTTGTGATGCGAAGTAAATAACAAAATTATTGCATTGTCACCTTAATGATGTAATTACGTTTGCCTTCTGTCAAAACAAATCTAGTACCACAATCTAGTAGTAAAATATTGTTTCGGGCTAACATACAAATTGACAAGCAAAAAAGCACATGTACAGTGTTTTGTGTTTATATCAATTGAAAAGAGGCGAACATTTTATGTGCGAAAATCGACCATGGAAAGTTTAAAAGAAATTCAACAATTCTTAACCATTGAAACGCCACAGCATTTGAAATCCATTGCCATCACATATATTCTTAGTAAGTGTGAATGTGTTGCTTGCATTGGAATGCATTTTGAACGGTATTGTTTTTGGGCAGGTTTGACTGGATCCAAAGAGGGACAAGAGCTTTTATACAAATCCAGCGATACTGTTACAGCTCTCGGAAAATTAGCAAACACAGACAAAGATCCACTTGTATCGAAAGAGTCACTCTTGTGTCTGGTGAATTTATCAGCCGAAGAAGATGGGGCTACCGTACTTTTAAAATCGGTAAACAAAATTAGGGAACAACCAAAATGCAGATGTAATTCATTTTTTGTCTGCTTTGTTTTCATAGATTCCAAAATTGGCGGAAATCTGTGCTAAAAATATTATTGACGAAAATTGTGCATTGTCCGATGCATGGAGCATGGTGTTGAGTAATGTATCGCGACCATACGAATTGGCCGAACAAGTGTTTAACGAAATTGAAAGTGAATTGGATAAGTTGATCACGGCATTCACTCGAATCGATTATAATAAGAAAAAATGTCATTTAAATTATTTAGGTGATTTTCTTAAGTACTATTTTTGTAGATTGTATTTCTTGTAAAATGTTCAACTAGTTTGAATGGTTCTTCAATGAGTGTCAACTATTTAAAATTGAAATTGTTTTTTTCTTTTCGTTTTAGGTCCAATTTTTAGTAATTTATCACAAGTGTCAAAGGGACGAGAATATTTCTGTAAAGCCGATTCGGAGACGCTAAGTCGTCTGATACCATTTGTCCAATACGAAGCAAGTGTGGTTCGAAAAGGTGGAATTGTTGGCCTATTGAAAAATATTTGCTTTGATTCGAGTATTCATTCGCATTTGCTCGAAGACATCGATATTTTGCCAATCATTTTATTATCTTTGGCCGGACCTGAAGAATACACGGACGAAGAAAATGATAAATTCCCAATGGAACTGCAAGTAAGCCGATTGAATTCAATTTCTATTTTAAAAAGTGCTAATTGAAGCTAAACTTTTTTAGTTTCTCAGCCCTGACAAGGAACGTGAGATTGATCCTGATATCCGGAAAATGTTGCTTGATTCGTTAAATCAATTGTGCGCTACACGTAAGGCTCGTGAATTTTTACGATCAAAAGGAACGTATGAAATATTACGCGAACTGCATAAATGGGAAAATAGCAAGGTTTGCTCACTTAAAAATTACTATTCCATTACAGACCCATTA